GTTAATTTATATGCTTAGTATATATCAAATTTCACCTGAAAAAACAAAAATGAACCTAAGCATGCAACCTATTCACCATTCATAGATCAATTCATAATTTAATATATTCATCATTATCAGTCAGGCCAACTAACTCACGCAAGCACAAAAAAAGAAAATGTTTTTGAAATTATTGAAAATTTTCAATTTTTTTATTTTTATAATATTTAAAGCAATAAAACACACTGAAATAAAGAAAACTAATGTTTTCCACCACCAAACTTAAATTAGAAATTATCCTTAATATCTTAAATACTAAGTCTGCATATAAAGAGGTGGGGAAGAAAATGAAGAAAATATTGATGTGGCGGGAAATTCAATGGCTAGCTTTTCGGATTGCTCCCATTGTCTACTTGGTCAATGTTGGTTTAAGCGATTCGCAACGTCGTGTTTCTACACAATGCGATTAAATAAAACATTGAAGATCAAATTTCTGGACAAGTGTTACTTAGTTCAAACATCGAATAAACCAACTAAATCTCGAGGACGTAAAGGGAAACGAGAATAGATGATGAGTCCCTATTAATTGATTAAAACTCATCTAAATAGTCATAAGTCTAGAAATCATAATAAATAAAAGGGATAGATGTGTTGGGTTGCCTCCCAACAAGAGTTTATTTAATGTCCTTAGTTTGACTCCTGTTGTTTGTAGGCTCTTCATGGTAGCTTGAAAATGAAATTTTCAGCCCTGCACTTTATACACTTCCTTCTTTCATCTTTCATCCATCGCATAATCAATTTTTTATTGTTGTCCCTACCAACAATTCTACGGACTGCTTTTGTTGCTCTCTCAATGATCTACTCATTAGCAATCCTTGAAGTAGGAAGGTTGCTCGATTAGATTCTCAATGGTGAAGCTCTGCTGCTTATCCTCCACCTTTAGGGCTATCTCATTAGTATCAAAATCAAGCAATGCTCAACTTGTAGACAAGAATGGCATTCCCAAGATTATTAGCATTTCTATGCCTCTTCTATGTCCAGGATGATGAAGTCCCTGGCTCACTTTGATAAACATATCTTCAACTAGTTCGTAGGGGTGCTTCAGTGATTGGTCCACCAACTGAAGGATAATAGATGACGCCTTCAAATCTCCTAATCCCACTTTCTTATAAAATGGTAAATGAATTAAATTAATACTCGCTCCTGAATCAATTAAACAATTTTTATCATATAATTTTCCTATAGAGTAAGGTAGAGTGAAACTCCTTAGATCTTTAAGTTTGGGAGGGATTCTATGCAAAATGATTGCGCTGCACTCTTCAGATAAAGCTACCATTTTACGCTCGAGTAGCTTCCTCTTCTTAGTTAACCTTTCCTTCAAGAACTCGAGTAGTTTGGAATTGGATCGCATCAATGAAAGGGAGTTGATATGCATCTTTTTGAGGACTTCCAGGAACTTTGGGAACTGCTTCTCCAGCTTGGTATTTTTCAACCTTTGAGAAAATGGGATTGGTTTTGCAAGTACTTTGATTGGAACTATTATTTTAACATGTGGACTGTTCGAAGGTGTTTACTAATCTATCTAAGTTTATTGTTCAAAATACTCCACTTGGTCCTTGCCCTTTGTAGATGCCTGAGTGCCCTAAGTATCATTCTTTGTAGTAGTAATTTCTGGTAGCTGAACCCTACTTCTAGTGGAGATGGCCTGAACCCAAGTGGTGGGAATGAATGATAGCGACTAAACTCACCATCTCAACTGCTAGTACCCCCTCCCGTGGATGTTTTTGTGTCACTAAGTAAGGTACTCTGTGGTTTGTTGGCTATTCCAGCTGCTATTCATTCCGCCTGCTGTTCCAAATTCTTGATAGAAGCTTGCTATTTTGGAAATTGGCCTCAATCTTTGTGATGTACTGAGATAGCAAATATTCCAATGATGGCCTTCACTCTTGCTGTTGTTGGAGCTGGTGGTCTATTCTAATAATTTTGCCCTTGATTATTAACCCGTAAAGAGTTTGGCTACTTGTTTCTGTCTAGATACTAAATGTTAGGATAGTTCTACTGTCTTTGGAAGTTTTGTACATAACTGACCTCTGTTGGCTAACCCATGTGAGTAGAAGCCAAAAGGCAGCTTGTAGTGATGTGATCTGCCCCAGAACCTGTACACTAGAGATGGAGTTTGTACCATATTCAAGGAATGGATCAAAGTGTCAAGCTTTCTCATTATTGCTATCTGTACTAAGAACGCTGTCACTAAGTCCACATTATGTATGCCAGCTGTTTTCTATGGGAAATCCCTCTCTATTGACCAATTAGTTCGATTTTCAGCAATCTTCTCATAAAGTTTGAATGATCATCAACCTCCATTGCTATAACAGAGCTGCCCGCTGAAGCATCTGCCATGTTACGAAATTGTGGGCATGGTTCATAGTAGAAAATATACATATGCGCGTGTTTAGGAATGTCAATGTTCGGACACTTCCTAAACGTATTCTTGAACCTCTCCCATGCCTCCGAATGTCTTATTATCCAACTGTTTGAAAATCTGTTTTTGGCATTCCAGTTCATGTGTAGATATCATCGTTCACATAATAATAGCCTCTCTTATTGTTCCAGATCTTACACAAAAGCAATCGTCCAACTTGGTTCGACCCTCAACACCGCATTGTGGGGGCAGATGATCAATTACTCTAAATTCATGTATAATCCAAGATTTTTTTTACTGCTACCAGGTTTTCCCATATAGAATTGAAAAATCTGTTGAAATCAAATAGTTTCCCCATTATATTCCACATTTTTATCATCTCTTTTTACTTGCCAATATCCATCAACTCTAGATACATTTATATTCTCATTTCGGTATTTTCAATTGTTTAGTTCCAGAAAAGGGAATTAATTGGATTCATTTTACATGTTAACATTCGAACCATGCAATAATTCATGAAGAATGTGTAATTAAAATTTTATGAATTGTTGTTGAACATTATGGCATCAGACCGAGTTGGATGTTGAATCGGTCAGGTGAAGGATTTCTTTCAAACAGATTCCTTGAGGTGTTTAGGAGTTCATTGAATTTTCCATGTCTTAAACAAGAGATGGAGTTATGATCAAATGTCCATGTTCTATATGCAAAAACACTAGGTTTCTGAAAGGAGATGATGTCGAATTTCATCTTTACAAAAATGGATTTAGAATGGGTTATACATAGTGGAACGCACATGGAGAACCATTTAGTTTCAATGGTCCAAATTTGGCAGAGTCCTCAACTGCACAAGCTACAACCATTGAGAGCGATGAAGAAATGGTAATAGATGCGATGGGCCTTGAAATGTATCATAATTACATTAATCCAAATGTTTGTTCTCATAAGGAACAAAGCCCAAATCAAGATGCTGCAAATTTCTTTAAACTATTGGAAGAAGCTGACCAACCTATGTGGCATGTTTGTAGTAAGGACACAACCCTTTCTACTATGGCACGACTCTTGAATCTGAAGTCTAAGTTTAATGTGCCTACAACATGTTATGATCGTATGTTGTCTATCTTTAAGGAAATTATTCCAGAGGGTGACCGGTTAGAAGGTACTTTCTATAAAACAAAGAAACTATTATCCAATCTTGGCCTTGGTGTTATGAAGATCCACGCTTGTGTGACTGATTGCATGTTGTACTACAAAGAAACAGAGAGCATTACTCAATGTCCTACGTTTTTTAGTCCACGATACAACGATAAGATGTCTCGATCTGGACATAGGGTACCTTAGAAGGTACTACGATATCTCCCTCTAACTTCTAGACTTCAAAGATTGTATATGTCGATGCATACTGCAGAAAACATGTAATGACATTCGAATAATCAATTAACTGTTAACGAAATGTCACACCCCATACATAGTGAAGCATGGAAGCACTTTGATAGAACTTTTCCAATTTTTTTCCTTGAACCACGTAGTGTACGCCTTAGTTTATGTACAGATGGGTTCAACCCCTTTAGCATGTCAATTATGCAATACACGTGTTGGCCAGTAATCATTAATGTGTACAATCTTCCGCCATGAATGTGCATGCAATAAGACAACTTATTTTTTAGTATGGTTATCCCTGGACTGAAGAGTCTAGGGAAAAACCTTGGTGTTTATTTGCGTCCTCTATTGATGAACTAAAAATGCTTTGGAATGAAGGTGCTGAAGCATATGACATACAAATGAAGCAGAATTTTTAGTTAAAAGCTGCATTGATGTGGACTTAGTGATTTTTCAGGATATGGCATGTTATCTGGATGGAGTACACACGGTCTAAAGTCTTGTCTATACTGTATAGGTCAAACTAAATCTTTCAAGCTTAAAAATGGAGGGAAAACATCTTTTTTTATTGTCACCGTCAATTCCTACCACCCGACCATGCATTTAGAAAACAAAGAGACAAGTTTTACAAAGGTCGAGTTGAGAAGACTATGGCACAACATAAAAGCTTACGTTCTCAATGACAATTTCAAAGATAAGAAAGGTAGGACTAGTGAAAAATTTTCAGCTGGGATTCAATCACACGAATTAAAAGGGGAAATTAAATTATTTTTTTTTTATAATGAGAAGTCAATTTTACATTATATATTTAAGATGAAGCTTTAATAAAAATGTAAAGAACTAGAAGGGAAGAATTAATTTGAATGCTTTATTTCTTTTAAATTAATTATAAACTAACATCATTTTTACTAATATCATACCTTGATCATCAATAAATACGTTTTTTTGTGGACTGAATATTTTTTTCCTGAGCTAACTCAATTTTAACCTTCATACTTTATTTTTTAGGAAAACATTGACTTTCAAAGTGTCATCTATAATTACAGATTTTCTCCATCTAATTTACACCCCCCCATATATTCCATTTTTCGGCATTTCCACCCCACACCGTCAACTCCCCATTCTTCCTGCTCAACGTAATATCCTGCGTGAAAGCTTCGTCACCACTTTTCAACCATTTTATCCTTCTCAAAACTCATGCCGACGTTAACTTCAACAGAGGATGACTACTAGAGTAAGGCGGAGTTTCATGTTTAGGGTTCCCAAATTACAAGATGATGAGGATAATGACTGGATTGAGAATGGATATGAGGATACTGATGGGTCTCTTTCTGCAGATCATAATGACGGACTTGATTGTAGAAAAAGGGGTCCCAACCACGGTAGCTACGTTTGTGTAGATGAAACTGGAAGAATTCCTTTAACTGTGGGAGACAATAGGTATATAGCTGAACTTTTATTTTTTTTAATTTCAGTTTGAATGCAAAATGGTATCATTGATTTTAGATGGAGTGAATTACTGTGGGAGATAGGAAGTATATTTTGGCTTCTCATGTCCATATGCTAGTTAATAGAACAGGGTATATTTTGGAAAGTTTACGTTTTTTATTTTGTTCCATGTTTATGATTTTTATTGTTCTTTTTAGAGTCCAGAAATTTTATGTTTTCTTTATGCATTTAAGTCTACTTTTGCAATTTTGAAGTACCATTATGTTGTGGTTTAGATGGCCGGCAATTTCATGGGTTATTCTTAATTTTCCCAATGATTTTTAGAGGAGGAGTTTAAATTGAACAGAGTATTTGGGGTCGACTGGTAGATCCTACTTCTGTTGATGATATGTCTTCAGTTTTTTTTTTCTTTTTAAAGTTTCTTGTGTTTTTTAGTTAAGGTATTGAAAATATGCTGTATAACTTCTTTGTGTGTGCAGTGTTAAATTTTTCATTAGTGCATTTGTGTAGAGCAGGCATGATAAATGAATATTTCACACTCATCTTTTCAGTAGAGAAGAAGAGTAATGTCATATAAACTACCAGATCGAAGTACAAGATGTAGGAGTATTGGGCCAGTCGGGAAAAGAAATTTTGAGAGAAACTTTCAGATAGAGAAACTACCAGTAATTGTACATAACACACTGAGTTCAAAGTACTACATAAATGTAACAAAATCACAAGTAATATATTGATGCTTAATGACATGTGTAAAGCCACTTTGGATACAGAGAAAATAGTTCACAATTCACCTACCTATTTGAACATGAGACCAATGGCAGGGCGACTAGCAATTGCAAGACGCTCGCTGAACCCCTGAATTACACAAATGCTACATTGCTAGACACTACAACAAAACTGTGATTTAGCGACAAGATTTTTCGCGACATACAAAAAGTTGTTGCAATAAGTGACTTAACGTGACACATTTTTTGAGTTTGTCGCGAAGTTTGTGATGAGAAAAATAAGTACCAAAAAACCTTTGGCGACATAAAAAGTTGTCGTGAAATGTGAGAAGTTGCGACAAATAATAAAGAATGTCGCAAAATATA